GTAGAAACAGAATTATACCGGGCAGCGAGAGCGTTCCATAGATCGGCAGATGTGGTGAAGTTGCGGACATGCTTGTGAACAGACGGACTGATGACGGCAAGAAGGCATGCACGGATCTGAGTATCAATCACAATCCATGTTTGGAATTCTGGGTTAGGGTTTTCCTTGCCATCCTTGGATAGGATTTTTGGAGGCGCAGCTTCATGACCACCGATCCAACGAAGAAGAAGGTTGGCCTCGAGAGCAGTTTTGACATTGAGAGACCATGCAGGATAATTTGAATCGGTGAGCTTCTCTGGGATAAGATTATGGAGATTGCGGAGAAGAAGCTTGACGCCAGAAGGAAGCGAAGCAAGCAGATCTGAAGATTGAGCCATGGTTGCCGTTTATGGTCGACCGGCGAGAGGAAGGAGACCGGCGGTGAAGGCACAGTCTTGAAAAAAAAGGCTAGGGTTTAAACCTAGGCTCTGATACCAGATTAGAATGGTCCCTTGTACGTACGTACTTTATTCACAATTTTGTGCATGCATGAATCGTTTCCTTCACGTGGTACTAGCTAGTGTTATTGTGTGAGATCATAAATCCTTTTCCAGACTTACAATCACAAGCTCAATCGAGTTCTTAATTATGTTTGTTAGGTAAACACATAGCAAGGCCGGTTTTGATGATTCAAGAGTCCAAAACGAGATAAAAAAAGAGGTACCTAGCTAGCTGCGTACTTAGACACCAATGAATTAAATTACATTATGTACTTCCTTCTTCCCATAAAAATGCTCCCGTTTTAACTTTTACCAAATTTAGGGGAGTATAATTTTGTCTCGATTTTCTAATATAAAAATACCCTTGATGTAAGGATGAGTAAAAGTAGGATGTGATTGATAGATTATTAATAAAAAGATATGACGATGTAATAGGTAGGTTAAATATTAGGAAATTTACGCAAATGAGATTTAAACATATCACTTAGCTTTTTCCTAAATAGGATCAATTTTATCTACTCTAACGTTTGACAATGAAAAGTTCTAAAATGTCATGCCTTTGAGAAAAAATGACCAATTACACAATTCGAGTAGAATAAGACATTATTAAAAATAATTTTAATAGTCATTGAAATAATCAGTCATTGTCCAACATTTGTTGCTAATGACAACATTCGTACATAAAGTCATTCGTATAATCAGTTATTATCCAATACTTGTTGCTATTGAGGGTATATATGACAGGTCATATGGAATTATGTATCATAAAGAGAATAAGTCATTCTTGGTCATATTAAGGGAAATGTACTACCTTTAATTTTAGTCCTATATGAAGCAAATTTTTCTTAAATATTATTAGTAGAAGTAAAAGTGGGGTTTTAATAGAAAATGGAAAGATTTTAAGGGACAAGAAAAAAAGAAAAGGGAAGGAGTATTTGGAATGGAGGGAGTATTAACTAAATTTATTAAACGACAATAAACTAATTTTTGAACGAAATGATGGTTCATCTTGTAATTGAGGGTGATTCTCATGACATTGGAACCCCGTGTCATGGGATGACTCAGGGCCAATACGTTGCCCCCTTTGTAAAATTGACAGTTCCTACCCCTAACTCCCACCTTGCCTCGACCCGAACACACCCCACCCCATTCAATTGCACATCTAAGTTTATCTGATTTTGGAGCCAAAATTTTGACTCCAAAGTCAAATCAACTTGGGGATTGGAATTGAATGGGGCGAGAGGGGGGTGTTCGGATCAGGGTGGGGTGGGATTTTACTAGGGGGTTATGGGGGTAGGAACCGTCAATTTTAAAAACGGGGCACCGTTGTAGACCCAGGTCATCCCAGATCATGGGACCCTCCCTGCTCCCAATTTTCTTCTTTGAACAATTTTATAAGTTTTTAATTATATTAGAAAATTGGGATATGTCTTACTCCTTTTGTCCGAAACTAAATTGTCTATTTTGACTTACAATGTCTAATTGAAATTATTTTCAATTCAATTGAAACTACATCAAAAGGTTTGTGCAAAAATGAATCGCATTCCCGCTTCCTAAGTGTGCCATGACCGGCCTTAATGTAAGGTGATTTTTCTCTCGATCAATACATGTAAGAAACACATGATCATCTTTAGGAATTTGCTAGGGTCCCGTTTGGTATATGAAATTCAAACTATGGAATTGGAATTGGAGACTTCAATTCCAATTCTGGTGTTTGGTAGCACAAACATTATGTAGATTTGGAATTGATAGTGCAAAAGATGAATTGGAATTGAAAGAATTCAATTCTCTGGAATTGAATTCCATGGAATTTCAATTCTAATTCAATTCCAATTCAATTCCAATTCCACCAATTCCGTATACCAAACGGACCCTAGGTGTACTCCAACGTGGTATACCTCATGTGTATATCACCTTCTCACAGACACACAAACATCCACTGTCTGTGTTTCACACATATAATGTGTCTCTGTGAAAAGGTAATGTACATTTAGGTTACACCACCTTGGGGTACACTTAGCTTTTTCCTTTAGTTAACTCCCTCGGTCCCATATCTTCTATTGTGGCTCTTCACAATTTGCAATGCAATACTTAATCATTGATATCAGGATCTATTTCTATATATATGAATATATTATAAAATTTAAAATTATATTCAAAATAAATCTATTGATATTAAATTCATATCATAATTCAATATATTTTTTTCCTAGCTAGAGGTCAAAATTAAAAAGAAATTAACCACCAATTTTTTTTAAAAAAAGAAGAAAGATTTGAATCCAATAATTACATACTTCCTCCGTCCCAAAATATTTGCTACATTTGCTTTTTCAGCAGTCGCAGAAACTTTTGTTTATTTCTACGTTTTCATTGGTTATTTAATAAAATAAAATATTTTTCACACCTCTTATTTCAAAGAACTTTCATGTAGTTTTTTGATATGTAAATTTCATTTTTTATTTATATACCAATATGTAAATAAAATAAATTTAAAAAATTTAATATTTCATCTCGAGAATACAAGTGTGACAAATATTTAGAAGGATGGAGTATATATTAGCCGGTATTTTATATGCCATTATGCACCATGAATGAATGTCTACCTTTTAGAGGGCTCTTTGTCTAATTACGATTTTGGATTTGATTCTCCCAATCCCCAAATCTTTGGTTTGACTAATTTCTCAAGAACTATTCAAGTGGGCGTCGCTTCCCAAAATCCTCCGTCAATTCATTGGGCGTTGATTGGACGTTAGGTGAAACCATCGCTCCCGGTTCGGTTCTTTAGGTCTTCTTGCTGCTCCCTTTTTCCGGACAAAATTGGACATAAATAAAATGTCCCGTCTCGCCCGTTCCTAACGCACCTTGCACTCTCTAAATTCTGTTGATTTTTGGGTTTAAATTTATAGAAAAATCGATGCAATTTGGAAGGCGTAATTGGAAATGGTCAATGAGTACGTTAGGAATGAGACGGACATAATGATTTATTAAGGTTTTGAAAGATAAAAATTTTCAATTTTGCAAATGAGATATTATTATATTATAAGTGTCTGGTATAAAATTTGACTCTAATGTCAAAAAAGGTTTGTTGATTGAAGTTATACACAAGAGAAACTATAGCTTTTCCATGACTATGTATAGTTTTAAGAAATGTTTCATATTCTGACATCGATGGGGTTCTAGTGACACTGACTTTTGGTAACACTAGCGGTGTTTCTGTCATTTTAGAGCACTTCCGATATTATCGTTCTAACATAATACTCTATTTGAAAATGTTCAAAAACAATTCTTACTTATCCTTCTCTTATTAGATATATATATATATATATATATATATATATATATATATATATATATAAAATCCAACATATTCTGTTGCTATTTAAAAAGAATTTAAGCACTTAGTTTTTAATTTCCTTATCATTTTGACACTTTTTAGTTTTCGTCAAGATAAAATAAAGATAAAATAACTATTTTTATAGGACACAGAGGGCATTATTACTTAAATTGTTACTCCTACCCTTAGAATAATTTTTATTTTCATTAATATTTGATAAAATAAAATAGATACTTACATGGGTAGTGGAGCATCTTTGCACAGGAAACGACGTCGTTTTCTGTTCTGCTTCCATCCGGAATTTCGACCCACCCAAATTTCTGGCCTGGAAGCAAAGAAGCGAATGAAATGGCCGCTCACTGCGTCTCCATAGCCACCGCTGCTACCGCCGGAATCTACGAATTCCGGCGGAGTAAGTCCGTCAAACTCGCCGCAGAGGTTTTAAACTTCCCATGGAATGGCGATCCGATCCGAATTCCACTCCAATCCACCAGTTTCGGACCCTTTCTTCCAAAGCGTTCGCTCATCAAAGCATCTGTCTCCATCAGCCTCCCATCTTCGTAAGTTCATTTATTTTTTCTTGATTTGTGCACATTTTCAGAAGAGTTTTTGTCCATATAGCCAAGTTCGATTCTTTAAGTGCGTTCAGTTTTTATTGAGACGAATCAGGCGACTTTAGTTTTCTTTATGTATAAATCACTAAAGATAATCAAATGTGAATGAATAAACAATGCAGAAATCTTCTTTGTTGCATTTATTTAAGAATGGAAGAAGTATGTATAGTAGGGCTAAAATGTTGCATTGTGACCTAAATTATTGTAAGCTTTGAGATTTATGGAGAAACAATTAGGAATGAACAAAAGAGGAGAGCGAGAAGATAGTATTAAGCATAGATGAAGTGGTGAATTTCGGGTTTTGTTGTAAAAATGTATTCTTTTTCTTTGTATAATTTTATTATAGGAATGCAGATGGAGCTGTCTCTCCGAAGAATCTTCCCGAGTGAGTCTTTTGCATTGGACTAGTATTTAAATGCGGATATGGCTTCCTAGGGTTCGTTTTTCGTTTCTTTCTTCAATTTTATTGGGATGGGATTTTGATGTTGAGGTTTGTTGAATTGGGTGATTGAAGTCGTAGATGGTCATCGAAGGCAATTAAGTCGTTTGCAATGTCTGAACTGGAAGCAAGGAAACTCAAATATGCCACAACTGGGACGGCAGCGCTACTCATGGGTATTCTAATTGAGGGTTAGTTAGTCAATTCCTTAAAAGCATTCAAATGTTTGTTTTCTTAGGTCACTCCTCTATCAATGTTTGAGTTTCTTGCTTTCGATGTTCGATTTGTTTCGCTGGAAATATGAAGTGTTTCGATGGTTTGTTTTGCTATTTGTGGGGGAGGGTCGATTTGTAAATGTAGTTCATGTTTTCATATTTTAGCCCACCTTTATTTTCAAGTAGACGTTAGTGTGCGTACCCATGTCCTTAAAATTTCCAACTTTAAGGATGAGTAAACACTAACACTGTCTTTTGGACAACAACAGCAACAAAAGCAAACCCAGTAAAAATCCCACAAAAAGCAAGGTCTGGGGAGGGTGTGTGTACTTAGACCTTACCCCTACTTGGAAACAGATAAAACATTGTATTTTGGAAAGGACATAAATTGTGTGCTATGTTTAGTTTGTTGGTTTTTGTTTGTTTCTTCAGGAACAAGTTTTGCTTCAAAGTATTTGTGGGCCATTGGTATTACCCTTCTCAAAGTGCGCGAAGAAACCATTAAGGTTTGTGGGAAAGCAAGCTATTATACATCTTGTCCCGAGCATCCTCCTTTGACGGAAGATGCAGAGAAAGCTCTTGATTGGGCTCTCAGCAACGAAGCCAAAACTGGTAAGTTATTGAAGAAAAAAAAGTACAATAAAACCCGGCCGAAAACAAAAGATTCTGATACCCTTTTGGGTAATGGCATATATGCAGGTGGAGATGGAGAGATTACAACAACTCATTTGCTACTCGGAATTTGGTTGCAAGAGGGGTCACCGGGTCACAAGATCATGGCTTCTCTAGGCTTCAACAATGGAAAAGCTCAAGAGTTGAAGGACTTGATTTCTAAACCTGGCTTTAATGAGGACTAGTGGTTGATCAAGGCTGCCTGCTATTGAGGTTTGTTCATTTACCATTTTACCCTTCACGCCCCCCCAGTACTGGGCTTACACTTCACATATTAATGAACATGTCCAGAAATGTATGATTTGCATGAGAGTAACCAATGCTGGCTGGTGTTCCTTTTTCGTTAATCTGTAACTCGCGATTTCTTGAAGAATTGAAGATGAAACTCGACTTTTCTAGTCGATTTTACTCATTCAATGAGGGCAAGGTTTGCGTGCACGCACCCTCCCCAAACCTTACTTCTTGTGGGACTTTACCGGGTTTGTTGTCGCTGTCGTAGTTTGATTAGGTTGGTTCGATTCTTAAATAATGCAAAATTGAGAAACCAAGAGGTAAAGTTGGGTTCGGTCGTGTTTGGCGAGTTTGGGTTGGGTTCGGTCAACTTGGTTTGTTTTTCATGCATAAACTTGCACTGTAAGTTGATTTATTGTCACAACTCAAGTATAAAAATAATTGAAGTCACATTTGGACTGGTTTCATTTCAATATTTTGCCAACAAAATTAAAAATTTCATAGAACAGCTATATAAAATTTTGATGGCCAGATAGTTTATGTACTGAAATTCTTCAATCACTTGATAAGAGGTATATATATACGTCTTCCATTTCCAAACCTCCTGTTTTTAAAGAGGAAATAAGAGAAGTGTAATTTTATTTTGAGAAAAATAAAAAGAAAATAAAAAGAAATTTAAATTTTAATAATGTGAATGTGATTTAAAATAGTCAATCAAAGTGCGTCTAATCGAGTGCACATCTCACTATATCATTAAAATATAAAGGCATTTTGTGACGTGCATCCCAAAATAAATATTTGAGTGGCATTAAAATTTCCCTCCCATCGGCTATACAAAATGTTCATGTTAAATACCCCGTAACATACACTTCAGATTGGGATTTGACATTTTAAAATGTATGTGGAACTACATTGATTTAGTATGAAATTCGTAGGCATAAGGGCATTTGTAGTCATGGCATTTCCGCCGCGCCGCACAAATCCCGCGACCACGCCTCGCCTTTCGCTGCAGATCTTCCGCCGCGGAACTCGCCCGAAAAGCGGCGCAAAGCCATGCATGAAATGGGATTGTTTTCGCGGTGGCCGCCTATTGCCGGTGGTCCGCCGCACCGTTTTTTTTTTGTTTTTTTTCTTTCAACCCTATAAGTTCAACACATCTTCCACTTCAACCCATCCACTCTTATCTATCAATCTACCTATTTTCGTAATTTCATCTCTTTTTTTATTTTTTTTTTGTTTTTTAAAAATTTTAATTATATTTTGGTGTATTTCGTCTTTTATAGAGATGTTTTTTAATAAAGAATGTCAATCTTAACATTTTTATTTTAATTATATGTATTTTATTTTTTTCATAAAAAATTGTAATTAAAAATGATGAATAATGTAAAACATGGAGAGACAAGTTTTTAAGCTGATATCATCGCAGAATTTTTGGATGGGCGGAAAGTTAGTAGAATGCTGATGTGCCAGAATTTGAGGCAGGACAGAAAAGCCCCTCATTGTATATGCCCTAAAACCATTATAATTGAAATCGAGAAAAAGAGGGCCTCCTCTTTTCCGTTCACTTTTCCAATCTAGAGAGGATGGACATCGATGCCTATTTTCTAAGCCGCTATCAGAGCCCAATAGCCTATTTTTCATTTTTTAAGAGAAATTTACTTAAATAGGACTAAATCCTAATGATTTTCCCAATATAAGACCATATGTTTTTATTTTTCAATGTAGGACCTTTAGTCATTAATAAGTAGTCATTATTCAACTAAATGTCCATCATTACGGGACATTATTCCTTCCACTTGGTCATGATTAAGTCTTATATAGGGAATAAAAAAGTTTTAGTCCTACATTAGGAAAGTCATTATGTTTTAGTCATATTTAGTACAAATTTCACATTTTTTAATTTTTTTTTAAAATTATTCTTTATAGTGTTTTTAAAATTAGAAATTGGTTTTGTTTGAAATAAAAATAAATTATCATATAATTCATTTGTCTCAAGTTTTAAAAAAAAAATCATTTGTTTAATGTACATGTTGGAAACTCTCTCTTACATGTGAATACCCATCGATCAAAAAAAAGTTGTAACCATAATATTTTTAATTTTAAAATTTTTAAAATGCGTGAAAAATAAAGGTTAAAAGTTAATTTATAGGAGGAATAGGAGGACTGTAAATGTTGAAAGAAAACTAAAAATTTTCTTAAAATGAGAATCCCATTAATTAATTTATTAATAATAATTTAATGAATTAATAATAATAATAATAATAATAATGGGATGCATGGGGGAGGGGCAAGTTGGGTGCATGAGGTGAGGAGATCCGCAAGTTCCGGGAAAACTGGCCTGCGGGCCACCTCCTACCTCAAGTGCGTGTGCAGCCCAATTCCAAATAAAAAAAGTAAAATTTGCATTAAATAGGACTAAGGATCCGTTTGGTATAAAAAATTGGTGAAATTGGAATTGAATTGAAATTGAAATTCAATTTGATTCAATTCCATAGAATTGAATTCTGTCAATTTCAATTCATTTTTTGCACTATCAATTTCAAATCTACATAATTTTTGTGCTACCAAACACCAAAATTGGAATTGAAATCTCCAATTCCAATTCCATAGTTTGAATTTCATGTACCAAACGAGACCTAAAACATAATGATTTTCCTAATCTAGGACATAAACTTTTTTATTCCAGTAGGACTTAATAATGTATTCGTGGAAGGAATAATGTCCAGTAATGATGAACATTTACATGAATAATGACTAATTAATAATGACCAAAGGTCCTACATTGAGAAATAAAAACATATGGTTCTATTTTAAGAAAGTCATTATGTTTTATTCCTATTTAGGTAAATTACTCATAAAAAACTCAATCAGAATCTTAATAACAACAATAACCTTTCTTTATTTTATTTTATTGAATTCCTCATACTCTCTCCAGTCTCAAAAAAAGGGTCATGTTCATTTTACGATTTTTTTGCTAAGGTTTCGTTTGGTACATGTAATTCAAATTATAGAATTCGAATTGGGGTTTGGTAGCACAAAAATTATGCGGATTTGGAATTGATAGTGCAAAAATTGAATTAGAATTGACAGAATTCAATTTTATGGAATCGAATCTCATGTAATTTCAATTTCAATTCAAACGGACCCTAAACATATTCTCAAATCAATAAAAATAATAAAAATAGTGTGGAATTTAAAAAAATAAAAATTATACGGAGTATATTAAAAAAACTACTTTAGAAGTTCTATAAAAAAATGGTGATGAGAAGGTTATTTTATTTTATTAAATGATCGATGAAAATGTATATAAAAGAAGTAGAGTTAGATTAATAAAAAAATTTGAACCCTCATATCATATTTGGGCCGTATACATATTGTGTATCTACTTGGGCCGTATACATATTGTGTATTAGCATAAGATATTCAATCGTATCCATTTGGGCCGCATACATATCATTATATGGATTTAGTTTACCAAATCATAACGTAGGTAGCCTGGTGTAAATTCCATTATTGATTCTTTATAATAGGAGTAAAACATGGAAGTCTTATTATAGTATTTTTTCTATGTTTTAGTGTTATTTAGTGTTATTTCACTTTTATATATTTAATTTTTATTATCAAATATCCATTCATCCTCATTTTGATTATAATTTAGTTTTCTCTCTCTCTTCTCGATAACTTTTGTTTATTTGTATGTTTTCATTGATTATTTGGTAAAATTAAATATTTCTGCCATATCTTGTTTTGTAGAATTTCGGATGTAGTTTTTTAATATGTAATTTTTCTTTTCTTATTAATATATCAATTCGTAAATAAAATGATTTCAAAAATCGTAAGATTTTACCTCGCAATTCTCATTTTGTAATCAAAATAGGGTTGGAAAGAGTATTACGCACGTGGTTTTGCTTTTATTGGCACCTTTATACAAATAGTCATTTTTCAAATTCTGCTTATTAGTGTTAATTTGAAGACTAAAAGTATAATTTTACAATGATCACATATCTTTCTTGTATTATACAACTACAGAGGCCGTTCTTAATGCATTGTTTGTGAAGCACAGTCACTATTCACAGATGTGATCTTTCGTTAGAGCCCTAGATCAAAATCATTGTTATTATTGTTGTGTTGTCGTGTAATTGACATCAAAATATGTCACTAGATATAAGATTAATGTAAAATTACATTTGTAGTTATCAAATTAACACCAACATTACAAAAGTTCAAACAAGAACAATTTGTTAAAACATACTCATAAAAGAAGATTCACAGACGTAATATTTAATGATATAAGACAAAATATAAAAAACATATTGCTAGAATGACCATCCTCATGAGCAGATTAGCTACCAAGTAGGCTAGATCTCTCATACGATAAGGTCTTTATGAATTGATGATCTTTCATTTATGAAGAGCTGAATATATAATACAAAATTTGAGTTCAAAGCACACTCTACAAGAGTGATATAGTTACAGAGTTTATGTTAAATATATTGTATATATTTAATATATTGTATTAGGTGGAGATTGGGAGGGGAGGAGGGGGGCTGGGCCGTGAGTGGTTGCTGGGCCGTGGTGTGGGCTGGGTGAGCAATGGGT